TAAGGGAGAAAATGTTACTCCCTCTGATCCGCATTAGTTGATGCAGCCTCTATATTTATAGAGGCTGCGTCAGTTAATTCAGATCGGAGGGAGTACTAAATTTACATGCAAGCCTACATGCACAGTATTTTTTAGCGGAAGATGAAACACTTAGTATGCTGTTCTGTGATGTACATACAATCTGAGTTCTGAACTACTAGTAGCTTGTCCTTGGCTCACTGCATGTATAATAGTTCTTCTTTTCCCTCAATTGCAGAGTCATTCTCTACAGGAATCAAAATCTCAGTTGGTGTTGTGTCCCCATATAATGCTCAAGTTAGAGCAATCTCTGAAAAGCTTGGGAAATCCTATGATAGGTATGACGGTTTCTCTGTGAAAGTGAAATCTGTGGATGGTTTCCAAGGCGCGGAGGAAGATATTATTATCATATCAACAGTGAGGAGCAATAAAGCTGGTTCTGTTGGATTTCTCACAAACATGCAGAGGACCAATGTGGCTCTCACAAGAGCTAAGTAAGTTTTTTGTTGCTCGATTCCAGGATAATACGGTGCTAAATATGAATCCAGCAGTATAACTTCTATTTCACAAAATTTCAATTTAGTTAGAATAACTGTTGGTTGAAAACTACGTAGTTTGAATGAAATTGAAAGGCTCTTTATTGCCATCAGGAGTAACTTATTTGTTGTTGATCTTGCCAGGCACTGTTTATGGATAGTAGGAAACGGGACGACTTTATCCAACAGCAAGTCTGTTTGGCAGAATATAGTCAAAGATGCGCAAGACCGAGATTGCTATTTTGATGCCGATGAAGATAAAGATCTATCAAATGCAGTAATCAAGGCCGTCATCGAGCTCGACGATGCTGATAATCTAGTGAAAATGGACTCGCTGCACATAAGCAAGCCAAGGTTTCAGGTATTACCAAAAGCCTTCTGAAAACCTCTCATCATACGGACATGTCATACCAAAGGGCTGACAAATCCGGTTGCTGGCAAGTGTGAGCTAACGTTTTTCGTGTTCTATATGCAGAAATCAAGGTCCAAATACCGTTCATGAGATGTCAGGAGCCCTGAAATAGTACGAGTTCTGTGTCGGCGTGATGTTTGTGTCACCTGGGCTTTGCTGAAGAAACTTCCACCTGCGTTAGTATGGCCCGGCTGCTGTCGTGAGATGCCCTGTATTTTGTTGAACTTAAGCTTGATGCACGTTTCATCGCTGGAGCTCAGTAGCGTACCATTGTTATTCTGCTATAAGACTGATCGACATGGAACTTTTATTCTGGACAAAACCTTGTTAATTGGCATGTACTAGCTGGAATGTGGCGCGAAACAGCTTATCTCTATCTCCCTTTTGAACTGCCGAAACAGCTTCTCACCACACATTCAGACATTTATTCATCACACTTCACACACGACGCGTGCACTTCATTATTTCGGGGGTAGTCTTGGCCGGGTTGCTCGCACGTCGGTGTGGTCACGCTCAGCAGTCGATGTGGATGCTGCGCCAGCCGAAGTCGCCGCAGGCCTGGGTGTCCTCGAACACCTGGTACGGCGTGCCGGCGCAGCCGTGCTCGCTGTAGAGCGTCGCCGTCTCGCCGCGGAAGTTGAACTCGTGGCCGCCGTGGAAGTGGACGGGGCTGCACCCGCAGCTCCCCGCGCTGGACATGCGCCCCGTGCACGCGGGCCCGTCCCACGACGAGAAGTAGCTCCTCGGCCCCGTCCCGTCCGTCGCCGCCACGGCCGCCGCCAGCGTGGCCAGGATGGCGACGGCCATCGCCGCGGCAGTCATCTTTGTGGCCATGATAGCAGTGCTAAGGGTAGGAATGGCGCTACCTTTTTCCTTCTGTTCGTATCGCGCGGCATCATGCGCCTTCGGTTCGAGGTTTTATAGGTGAAGCCAAAAGGTAGGCGGTCGAGTTCCTAGGACTAGACGGTTTATTGTGTTGCGATTTTTCATTGTGTCTGCCGATTTAGAGAGCTTACATCGTTGCGTACGTGTCTGTGTAGTTCTCTGCTTACCTTTGCTGTTGTCATCGGTCAACGTATATAGGGCGATACTAATGTTGCAAACTTGCAACAAGGCTTGGAAAAACAAAACTAAAAATGAACAATCTTGCATACCTATATCTATTGAAAAGAAATTCACGTGCGAACCAACGTGATGGTTAGGAGGACAGTGATATCCTGAGTCCATTAGGGTTCATGTCCTAGACTTGACATTGATACTCGCATTATTCCTGTATTTATTTTAGGCTTTCGGTGATGTTCGTTCAGTGAGAGGAGACATTCCCGTTGACTGCGAGGCGTCTGTGATGACTTCATAAGATCTCAAGATGCTATGTCGGCTCAGTCTCTTGGAGGTGCTCATAGGTGTAGAGACGTAGAGTGTGCGTGCATTTGCTCATAGGGATGAATGTATGTGAGCGACTTTGACTGTACTATATTAAAAAAAATCATGTCTACTATTTAAAAGGTATATTTCCGTTAAAAGAATGAAACAAATTACACTATAGAACAAGAATAACAGAGGCAATTATACAAAAATATTCTAAGAAAGACGAAGCATCAAAATTACTGCTTTCTTACTGCAATCTATCCTACTAGGTCATGTGGATCCCTCCACTGGGAGGCAGGAATCCTTAATTCATGATGTTGAGGGGTGCTCAATATTTAAAATCTAAATGAAATTTTACTGTTTATATTCAAAGTACAAAGGAATAGCCAATCTTGGGCAGAGCCCGGGCCCTGGCTGGCCACCCTGCCTCCGCCACTGGATCCATCTACCCCGATTCTGATAAGGAACTTATTGGATGTAGCTTAACTATGCAAAAATTTAAGATTGATTTTTAAAGCTAAAGCCTAGTTACTAGTAATCGTGTACGTGCAATGCACGTCCAGTTTGATAGTACTCCCTGAAGATAGTACTCCCTGAAGATGGAGTAATATTATTTTCTTAATAAAAATAGTGTTTCCAAGATTAATGGCAATTGATGTTGATTTCAAGATTAATTATTTTTAATGCAGTTAATATCATTTTCAAATTATGATTAATGTAATTAACTTATTTCCAAAATATTGATGATATGATATGATGGATACATCATTGAAGCAGTGTGAGACATTAGATACATCATTGAGGGTATCTGAAAGTGAAAACCAAACCATATGCAAGCTACACTACGGAAATGAAGTGGTTTTGTATTGCCGTTTGTCTTTTTTAGTTTGATTTCTTATGATAAGGATCCTACATTAGAAGCCTCTTTGGTAGTTCTCTTGTAGGTTTTGTCTGCACAATCATCATAGACCAACCAGAGCCTATGGTCGTAGAGAAGTGTTCTTCTCAAGTGAAACTGCCTAGAAAAATGATTAAAAAAATATATAATTGAGAATAAAGACATCTACGAAAAGATATAACTACCCTTAAGAAAGTTAACTAGAACTATGGTGAGTATTGAGTAGGAATTTCAGATCCCGTCGACCCAATATGGCGAGTGCTGATGTGGGCTTTTTCACATGCATAATTGCATAATGAGGCATGTCTTTTTTCATGCGTGATTACATTGTGAGGTGGCATGTTTATAAAATGAGAAAATATGTTTGTGGGAATCACTTGTTTTGTTATTTTTGCAAAAAGAAAAAACTCTTCCAATCTATTCATCAAACATCACGTCAGTGCAACAAGTCCATAGATCACCTAGCAACAACTACAAGCACTGGAGCGAGCCGAAGGCGCACCGCCGTCATCGCCACTCTCTCACCGGAGTCGGGCAAACCTTATTGTAGTAGATAGTCGGGAAGTTGTCACGCTCAGACCCCAAAGGAACAGTGTACCAGAACAACAACCACCACGATAAAGAGAAGCGTAAATCGAAAGAATCCAACCTGTAGACACATGAACGCAAACGAATGAAGGCTAGATCCATACAGATTCACCAAAGACAAACACCGGTCGAATCCCGTGAGATTTGCTAGAGAAGCACCTCCACACGCCTTCTGATGATATGATGCGTCGCTAGGACGGGGACTAGGCAGGGAGAACCTTACTCCATCTTCAGGGAGTCGTTACCATCCTGCCTTCCTGAACAGGACACAAACCCTAAACAAACTAAAAAACACCTAAAGACTAAGTATGAGCACTCCCATCGGCAAGGGCAGGGATCCACTGCACCTCCATGGCCATAAGGCCGCATGAGACGAGGCAGATGGATGACAATACCTGTGGGAGACGAACAAACACTAAACGCCTGAGAGTCTTTCTTTCTTTCTCATGAAGAAACAAAATACACGTATGTCTCACTTATTTTGTAATATGCCTCACTTTTTTTGTAATATTGTATAGTGAATATCGAAAGCACTATTACTAAAGCAATAGAGCTCAAACCAAATTATGTTTTTGCTATCTATGTAAAATCTTGATTTTTGCTATCCACGCAAGTTTAGATAGCATATGGTAGTTCATTTATGGACGGAAATTCACAGGGGCACGTAGGTGCAGAGACACTCACCTGCCAAGTCCTGCTCGGCCGCTCGTGTCTCTTTATTCACAAAATAGTTGGATCTCGCACGAGTTCATAGTAAGATTTAAGTTTCAGTCGTTGAAACATACAATTTTTCATCTGAAATTTGTGTCTTTCTCGCTCGCTCTTACTAAGTTTCATAGATAAAATTTTAAGACATTTTTCTTGTCGGTTGTTGGCACAAAAAATCGTGGTTTTATCGGTTGCTCGTACTAACCTTCAATAGTTGAAACTTAACATTTATTTTCAAAAGAAATTGAAGCATATTTAAAATGGATCTTATTTGGAAGCTCTTGTTACAAGAAACACGAATATGAAAACAAAACTTAATTTGAACTTTTCGTTCAAAAGATATACAAATTTAAAAATTGGAAGCCAAAATAAAAGCACACCCGAGGGATATGCGTGCCGTGAGGCCTGCTTGCCACAATCCTCCCCATTTTTACGGACATTACTACAAAGAATTGAGTTTATTCTAACTTTATTTTTTCCATTATTTTTTCAACCTTTTCTTGTATTTTTTTCATTGTTTAGAACTTGTATTAATTTTGGTTTAACTGTTATAATTGTATTCTTCTACTTTTATGAAGTTTTAATATGGTTTTATCTTCCATTTTTCCCAATTACAAAGTTTGTTCCCGTACGGTTCTTTGTGCTGGCTGGGTTGCTGCTGTACTAGGAACCAATTTCAGTGGAGGCAATGGACTAAGTTTAGACAATTTTGACAAACTAGAAGTCATTTTGTTTGATACTGGAGATGATGGATTTGAATTTATTTATTTCACTTCAAACTAATTCCGTTAAGCTATGCAATATGGGCATACTTTTAAGAAAAACAAATATATTTCTTCCCCTCCCACGGCGGTGGCTAGGGCGAAGCTTCGTTGCCTCCAAGCTCCCCGGCGAGCCCGTGGACTCATCTTCCCTCTGCCTGCCGCTCTGGCGGCCGACGGCAAGGCGGGAAGTCCCGACGCCTCGATTCGGCTTAGTAGTTTAGCTTAGGTCTTTTTTTAGTCCACATAGGTGCAGCTCTTCAGCTTGAAGCTGGTTTTCCAAGCTTTGATCCTCCCTGAGTTCGTTCGTTGGGACGGAGTCGACGAAGTTCTGACATAGATTCTCGTCGTCTTCTTGGAGCGACGAGGTTATGATTTCTCGGCGTGCACACAAGACGGCGAACTTTGGTGTTAGGCGTTTCAGATCAATTCAAGGGTTCAACGGTGACTATTGCTGCTCTAGGGCGTTGCACAAAGAATTTCCAAATGTCATCAACAAGGCCAGGCCAGCTCCTATGAGGAGCGACGACAACGGCGCTTCGACGACTCACTTTGACGTTAGTGGTCGATCGGTGGTTCACAAACTTCTATATAGAAGTAATTTTTATTATGTTTGAGATACTTTATACTTCTCATGAACTTTATAA